GCCCGCTTCCTCTCCCAGCAGCCAACACGCCCCTTCCTGGGCGGCAGCCCCCCAAGTCTCCGAGCGCGCCCGCGCTGCACGTGCCCGCCAAGCCGCCGCGCGCCGCTGCGGTCGCGGCCGCTGCAGCCGCGGCCTCCGGGCCCCCTGCGGCACCCGAGGGCACCTCGCTGGGGGACAGCGCCCAGCAGAAGCTGGAGGAGACGAGCGCGTGCTTGGCGGCGGCGCTGCAGGCAGTAGAAGAAAAGATCCGGCAGGAGGACGCTCAGGGCCAGCGGTAGGTGGGGCGGGGTCCGGTTGGGCGTGGGCATCTGGGCGCCTCTCGGGTTAGTGAAGGTGTAGTGGACGGGCTGGGGCTGAGATGTGCAGGGGGGGCGTAACCAATGCCTTGAGGGCGTGGTCTCGGACACCTTACCCGGCGGGGCGTGGCCCGGCGTGGGCGGGGCTTGCACGCCACCTTGTCATTTAATCCGCTGAAATAGGGGGGGTGGGGGGGGGGGTGTCAGAGGCCGTGGGGCGTGGCCCCGCCATGCAATGCTGACTTGAGTGGGAGGCGTGGTCTATGTAGGGAGGGGGCACGGCCTTTTGCCCCGACCCCACCTTGCCCCCCCTCTTCTCACACTGCGCCCATCCCAGCCCCTCTGCCTCGGAGAAGAGCACGGGCAGCATCCTGGACGACATCGGCAGCATGTTTGATGACCTGGCGGACCAGCTGGACGCCATGCTGGAATGATGTGGCACACGTTGGGCCCACCAGCTGCCTGGGCTCTAGCTGCACACTGACCTTTACCTCAGGATGGGCACTTCTGGGCGCAGCGCACGTGGGCATGGTGGGCGGCCGAGGGGGACGGGGTGCAGGGGACAGCCTGCCAGGGCCGTGAGGCGGGGGCGGGTCGTGCTGCCCTGTCCCTGCACAAGCACAACTCCTGCCCCCTGGGCCCAGGCAAGATGCCGAGCGTGGAAGACTGCCTGGCCTAGGGACCCAAGGGCTCTGGACAGATGCTGCTGCTCTGTGGGTGCCTGTCCCTGTCTGCTGCTCCCTGTGCAATAACTGCTGGGCTACCTGCCCACCCACCACCGGGCTCTGCCCAGTGTGTAGAGAAGGGGCAGCCCCTGGCACCCCTGCCCTGAATCCACGTTGGGCCCACCTTGGGAGGTAGTGGGAGGGGGGGCAGCCACTGTAGCCCCCTCCCCAATCAGTGGCAGAGCACAGGCCTATGCCCAGCACAGAACTGCCCACTGGGGACCTCTGCCAGCTGCTCTGGCACAGCACAAGGGGCTGGGGTCAGGACCCCTGCCCTACTCTACCCCACAGAATATAAGCTATTGAGAGTATTAATTTATTGGGAATAAGCTGAGGCAGATTTCCCTAGAGAAACAAAAAGGTATAACTTTAACGAATATATATTTAAAGAAAGAAAAAATATTATTGATTCTATAGAAAACCATTTACCAACTGCAAGGACACTGGAGTCTCGCTCGAGACAAAAGCTGCTCCGGGCCCTGGCCACTGTCTGTCCTTTCCCTCTACCCAGGAGTGGCCAGACCCCTGGGCCAGTAGCGCACACAGTAGGCTGGGGTCTGTGCTCCACCAGGGCCTCCCTCTGCTCTCTCTTAACTTCTCTGTGTCTGAAGAACTCGAAGGATGTGCCTTGCTGCTGGGCTGTGTCCTCCATGCCGTGGAGATGGCGGGGAGGGCTCCCTCCTCTCTGGGGGATGCTGCTGTGACGGTCTGCCTGGGTTTGGGGGAAGCTACGTGCACAGCGTGAAGTGGTGGTCGGCCGGATGACAGCAGTGGGTGCAGGGCGTGCATGCCAGGCGTGGCGCGTGTGAAGGTGTGCCTGACTCCCTCCCCAGGCTCCGAGCAGGCAGCCAGCCCACCCCCATCTGAATTCCCACGGATGCTTCTGCTCGTGGTCCAAGGCTGTGTCGTGTGGTTGTTCTCGCCTCTCTCCCCTCGCCCCCTCCAAAAAAGTACTGACCAGCCTCCTCTATTGTGTTTGCTGACCCACGTGTGTTGGACACAACTTTGACATTTCTTAAAAAAAAAAAATTAAAAATGCCAAAAACCAGCAATTGTGATGCAGGTGGGCGGAGGGGATTGGCCAAGGTGGCATCTAGGAACGTGAGGCCCTTTCAGCTGTCATGTGGTGGCGCTTCCCCTAGTGGATTTACCTGGTCGTCCACCTGACCTCTCCTTAGCGGGTGGCCAAGGCGGGGGCTCCGGCAGGTCGGGAGGGGGGTCTGGGCAGGGCGGTACTCTTGGCTGTCAATAAACAGCAGAAAACGGCCTGGCTCACTGTTTGGTGGTGTGTGTTGGGAGAATGGTGGTGGTGGTGCTGAGGGGGGTGGGGCGAGGGGAGGGTTGGCCTGTCCAAGGCAAGGAGGGGAAGTCAACTGACAGGGCTACATCCTGGGGTCAACAGACAATAGGAACGCTTTTTGTGACCCCTCCCAGCGTCCTCCCACTGGCTGCTGGTGCCTGGGCACACCAGTGTTCTTGGCAGCCTCTCCCTCACCCCAGGACCATCCCTACTCACAGCCACAGTCTGTGCAGCTTTTATTTCAATCAGGAGTAATCAAATCTATGTACAGTCTAAAAACAATAGAAAAGGTGAGTAAAAAAGTCCTGTAGTCCATCAGGAATGGGGATGGAGGGTGGACCGGGCAAGCATTATACCTGGAGTGTAGAGAGAGGGTCTGGGCACTGTCCTGGCAGCAATGACGACAGAGCCAGACAGAGGGAGACTCGCCGGGTGCAGGATCAGGACAGTGCCTGGCCAGGTGAGCCTGCCCGCCTATCCCCATATGGGCAGGCAGAGACCCCGAGACCAGCCTGGCTTAGACAGGCCTAGGGTGGGCCCAGAAGAAGCCGAGATCTGGCCTGGATTCTGTCAGCAAGTCCAAACCTGTAGAGGAAGGGCTCTGTTTCAGGTGCCCCTCTGGCCATCCTGCCCCAACACCACCTGCTCTCCACTGTCACCTGCCCGGGGCTGCTGGCTCCTCACCCCCAACACCCTGCTCTCCAGGTGCAGTCAGCCCCTTTGGATGGCCCCAGCCAAGGCTCTGACCTTCACAGTGCTGTCCACAGCCCCTGAGAAGAGCCGGCCCCGGGACACGGCCAGTGCAGTTACACTGCCCTGGTGACGCAGCAGGGTCTGTGTGCAGATCATGTTGTCCATACTCCAGACCTGGGGGCACATAAGACATGAGGACTGCCAGGCCAGGCTACCCACCCTGAGCCTCCCACTGTCACCAGGCCAGCACGGACCCTGAGAGACCGATCATAGGATGCGCTGAAGACTTTGGTCTGGTCTGGTGTCGAGATGACCGCCAGGGCATACACGGTGCCGACGTGGCCTGTCAGGGTCCGAACCTGCTCCTTGGACTCGATGTCCCACACCTGGAGTGATGGCACAGGCAGGTCAGAGACACAGATGGGAGAGGACAGGGGCCCAGAGCCAGGCCTTGCCCCTAGGTGTCCACCCTTACGTGGATGAGGTTCTCGTAGGTGCCACAGACAATGTGGTGATTCGTCACGGCGATAGAGTACACACTGCCACCAGATGTCTGTAGGACATGGATGCAGTCGAGGGTCCGGATATCCCAGATCTATGGGAAGCGCAGAACACTTGGTCCTAGGCCAGGGTCTCTGGGGCTTCAGATGTGGGCAGCCCACCCACCACCCAGGTTGTGTGTGAGGGTCTCCCTGTCCCAGTGGGAAGGGGGCAGGGCAGTGCTGGTACAGGGAGGGGCCCTGCCACCAGGAAGGTGGCAAAGGGGTACCTTGATTGTCTGGTAGGAGCCACTGTACAGGTAGCTCTGGGCAGCCACCAGGGCCCGCACCCAGTGGTTTAGGCCTGTTAGCTCCTTCTTCAGCTTCAGCTCAGTGCCCACAATGTCCCAGACCTGTGAGAACGTTGTCAGCATGGGCTGGGTGGCCAGGCACCCGGCACCCCAATGCCTGGCACACGCACACACACTGCCTTGCCTGACCTTGATGGCCTTCAGGGAACCACTGAAGAGCATGTTGTGAGAGGAGACCAGCGTGCATACCGGGTTGTCATGGGCCCGGATCGTGTTCACCTTCTGCAGGTTCTGGATATCCCACACCTGGTGGGTGGAAGGACAGGAGCCTCAGCACCAGCCCTGCTGCCCTGAGCCCAGGCCCCCGTGTGCCTGGGACTCCCAGATACCAATACAGGGCCTGGCCCCCCCACGGGCCCTACTCACAATGATAGTGCAGTCTGCGGAGCCGCTGTAGAGCTTGCACCTGGGGAGGCAAAGCTAAGGTGTCAGGGCAGAAGGCACTGTCCTCACTGACACTGTCCTGCAGGCCAAGGTAGCACTGGCCACCAGGCATCAGCAGCTTGGGCAATGCTAAGGCCACTGCCGCTTCCTTGGGCCCAGTCTTAGTGTTTCGGTCTCAGTGAGGGATGCTGGAAGTGGAGGCCCAAATCCTGGTGCCTGCCTGGCAAGTGCCGAGCTGGGAGGTAATTACCCAGTTAGCACTGCTGGCAGTTAAGCTGCTACTTCTTGTGATTGAGAATCCCCGCCCCACCCCCCAGCCCCCCGCCCTTACTCATGCCCAAATACAAAACCTCATTACCCGAGACAGAAGGGAAGGTCTAGAAAGGGCCACCCTGGGAGCATGGAGGTGGCTGAGCCAGCTGTTGTGTGGTCCTGTCCCCGAGCTGTGCCCATGCCAGAGACAGCTGAGCTCCTGCCTCCACTCTATGAGGTCCCACCTCTGTCCTCCAGCTGCCTGAGGCACCCAGGGCCAGGGCTATGCTTTGTGAATGCACATCGTCAGAGATTACCACCGAGATGCCACCTTGCTCAAGGTCACGAGTGCCTCACAGGAGAGGCAACCACATGTGGGCTATACAGGCTTGAGCTCACCATCCATGGGGCAGTAGCATGGGGTCTCGTGTCCCCAGCTCCATGTGGGCCCGTGGACAGTGGGTACACACGTACACTCACCCCTGGATGCAGAGTGCCAGCACAATGCCATCATGGCCCTCCAGTGTCTTCTGACACTTGTAGGTAGTACACGTGTCCCACACCTGCAGAGACCAGGGTCAAGGTGGGTCCCACAAGATCAGCCAGGTGCCAGGGGTGGCATGGTGGGAATGAGGAAGCAAGCCATCCTCAGAAAGCCCCGCCTATAAGAGGAAGACCCGCCCACGGCCAGTACCCACCCTTCACCTGCCAGGCTACAGAGCCCACCCAGGCAGGATCCCACCCACCTTGATGGTCTTGTCAGAAGAGCCACTGAAGAGCAGGTCCCCCATGGAGTAGACACAGAGACACCAGACAGGGCCCTGGTGGCCCACAAAGGTTCCTTTGCACTTGAAGATCTGCTGCGGGTCATAGGCTGCAGAGACAGGAGTAGCTGTGAGAGACACGGGGAGGCCTTGGGGACAGTGGTGGGAGCAGCAGCGGGCCCATACTCACATCCTAGGATGCCCATGTTCAGCCGTGCATTGATGTGGGACAGTTCATCCTGCAAGGCCAAGAGTGGAGGGCATGGTGGCTGTGGCTCCACAGTACCCCTGCCCGCCAGCCTGAGCTTGGCTGGTACAGGACAGGAGCAGCAGCTGCCCTCCCCACACCAGACACCTAATCCTGAGCAGGGCAAGCCTCCTGTTGGGGCCCAATCAGAGGGATAGTCCTGTGTCCCCCACACCACCCAACCTTCCTGTCTCTCGCCCACTCACGTTCAACATGGATGCATCCCTCCGGAACTCCATGAGGTCCTCGCTCAGCTTGCTCTGGTTTTCATCCAGGACATCTGGGCGGCAGGGCAGAGGGTGTCAGGGACCAGGAGAAGGAGCTGCACCCCCATCCCTTCTGGGCTGGGCTCTCACCAAACTTGAGCTCCAGGCTCTTCTCCAGCTGGTCAATCTTCTCGGAGAGCTTGCCCAGCATGGAGCGCAGGAAGGCGATCTCCTGGTCCTTCTGGGCCAGGGCCACGTGCATCTCGTGGAAGCGGTCATCCGTCTGCTGGAGGAACTCCTTCAGGCCCTCGAAGCGGCAGGTCTCCAGGTGCGTCTCATACGTGTCCTGATTCCCGATGAACGTGCACCTGGAGGGACAGGATGGCTGCCTGCCCCTTTGCTCACCTGCCCACCCATTAGGACCCTCCCCTCAGCCTCCCCAACCCTAAAAATCTCTCTTGAATCTCACTTTTGTGCCCACTGAACCCCAGATGGGCCACCATCCTCTCCACACGTGCATGCCCGCCCATCTCTCCTGCTCCCATCAGCACCCAGCACCCAGCATTCCGCTATGCAAGGAATATCCAATCACTCTACTCCTGCTCACAGCTGCTAAAGGGCTCCTCCACACCCCTCAGCAGCGTGCCTCTTTCCCCTCCACCTCCCCTCTGCTCTCAGCTCTGGCCATGTGTTCAAGTCCACCCCTGCTGGTCCAGCTGTTGGAAGCCCTTGCCCTGGTCTTTGCCTGGCTTATGCCCACACATAGGTTAGCGCTCATCTCACCCCTTCCCTGACCACCCCCCACTCCCCAAATGCTGACCCCTGTGTTCCCATGGGACTTTGATCTCTCCT